TCCCGAATCAAAAATCTTCTCTCTGCCTCCTCTCAGGCGATTAGCGATCAGATCGCTAGGATATCGCAATCTGGCCAATTTTTCGCCTTTCTCCTCATCAAAATCACCAAATGTCGCCTAGTTTCCTTAGGATCTGTCTCCAATTTGTCCATTCGACCAATTGCATGGCTGGAATTGCAACCACCCGACGACGATTTCGTCGAGCACAATAAAGAAATGACTCATTTGGAGTTCAAATTGGCGAATCCTCGATTATAGATAAGTTAATTATGATTTCTTTTCTTTTTTGACGATTATCTTCCTTGTATCCCCAAAATCTGTAATGACTCTCGACTCTTGTACAACTATATATAGGGGGAATTTCAGAGCTCGTTTCTCACCATCTCCCCATCTTCTGAAATCCAGAACAGAACACCCTAGACCACAGAGAGTAGAGACAGAGGGATTGCACCGAGCCTACAGACAGAAACACAGAGTCTAGTCCATTGAGGGTAAGGAGCTTGAACTCGTGTCGGCTTTTTCTGGGTTAGTGATGTCTATACAGACATGCATGCATGAAATCGAACTCTAACCGGATTTTCTTTTCGTTGTTCACTCTTTTTTTGGCCAGGTTGGACTCTTTTGAATCGCTATTCGAGGGCTGGATCGCAACAGACAAAGTGAGTACTGAGTAGTGAGCTGTGAGCATCAGTCCACTGTCATTGGTTACTCGACAGTCCACAGAAAACTCAAAGCCGAGAAGAAGGTAATCCCGTTCTTTGAGCATCAATCTATTGTCATTTGTCAGTGAGCTTTTTGTTAATTGTTGTGCAACTTGTTGTGAAAAACTAAAAATATACGACTTCATAATGCTAAGAAGTAATAAGAATTAAACTGTAAATCTGTAATCTTGTGTTTGCTGGAAGCCTACAAATGATGTCTTGTTTGCCAATTTAGTTTGGTTTTTTTGTGAATGTAAATAAATTAAATTAAGCCATAATCTAATTAGTAACACATATATTGATTATTGTCAGATGGAAGGTGCGATGAATGTTGACCATGCTCCTACTGCCAATGTTCCTGAAAATGTTGTCCAACCTCAACCTGAACAACCTGCTCCTGATGCAATTAATCTGGTTAATGGTAATGATAGGGAGCTGAAAGCTCAACGTAAGTTAACCTCTAATGTGTGGCCTCACTTCAACCGTGTTAGGATTAATGGGGTTATGAAGGCTAAGTGTAAGTACTGTCGTAAACCCCTTTGTGGGGAAACCAGTAATGGAACTTCACACCTGAGAATCCATATCAAAACATGTATCCAGAAGAGGATACATGATGGTTCTCAAAAAATACTTGGCCCCAACTATCAACCTTCTGGAAATCCTCAACTCTCTGCTTCTTAGTACAATTATGAGGTTTCGAAAAAGGAAATTCGTTCCATGATTCTGGTCCATGAGTACCCCCTTAGTCTTGTTGATCATGTGGGTTTCAAACGATTTTGCTGTTCTCTGCAACCTCAATTCGTTGTTCCTAGTAGAAACATTGTCAAAAAGGACATTTTGAGTTTGTATGGTGATGAAAGGGGTAAATATCATACCATTATTGATGGTAACCTGGGGAGGGTTTCAATTACAACTGATTTTTGGACTACCAGAAATCTGAAAAGGGGTTATTATGGCAGTAACTAGTCACTTCACTGATAACTCTTGGAAGCTCCGTAACATAATGATGAGGTTTATGTATGTTCCAGCCCCTCACACTAGTGAAAGGCTTGCTGATAGGTTGTTTGATTGTCTTTTGGATTGGAACATTGATGGTAAGTTGTCCTCAATCACATTGGACAACTGTACCACCAATGATACCATGATTTTCCACATGAGAAATAAGCTTCTGAGTAGTGACTTGTTGCTTGATGGTAAATTGGTTCATATGAGGTGTTCTGCTCATATTCTGAATTTGATTGTAAGGGATGGTATGGATGCAATCAAGGATGCTATAAATTTTATTAGGGAACAATGGAAATTTGCTTCTACTGTGATTGGGAAGCTGGAAATCTTTTCTGAGATTACTGAGTTGTTCTCTGGTTCCAAATATCCGACTGCCAATCTGTTCTTCCCCAAGATTTGTGATCTCAGACTTAAACTGAATGAGTGGGGTCATGATCCCAATCCTGTGATTTTTGGAATGGCTAGTCAAATGTCACTGAAGTTTGATAAGTATTGGGATCATATCCATCTTGTGCTTGTTGTATCGGTTGTTTTGGATCCTAGATATAAACTCTATGTGATTGAATACTATGCTGGAAAGTTTGGGAATACAGAAATTGTTTGGTGCTGAGAATATAAAGCAAATGATATGTGGTTTGATTCGTGATTATCAAACCAAAGCTGAGAAGAAATCTGGTTCTGAAACTGGAACTTCTTCTTCTGGTTCTGGATCTGCCTCTACCACTGAACTTGATTTTGAACTCTTTGTAAGTCAAAGGAAAAAGAGTAAGACTTCCTTGATTTCAACTGAGTTGGATATGTATCTTGCTGAGGATATCATTCCTCGCACAGCAGAGTTTGATCTGCTCTTGTGGTGGAAATTGAATGGTCTGAAGTATCCGACCTTGCAATCAATTGCAAGGGACTTTCTGGCAATCCTTATTACTTCTGTGCCTTCTGAGAGTGCATTTAGATTTGGTGGGAGGTTGTTAGACCCTCACTGGAGCAGGCTGCATTATTCGACTGTGGAGGCAATGATGTGTACTAGGAGTTGGATAATGGAGGACATGCAACGAGGTAACATTCAACTAAACCTCTCAAGTTCATTGCAAGTTTATTGGTTTAAGTTTTAACAATAGTATCAACTGGTTTTCTGCAGATTCAGAGGCTGCTGTGGAGGCATTGGAGGGACTCTTCTCAACAATGACAGTCGAAGATACAACTGTGGAAGAGGCAGAACCTGGTGGTTAGATCAATAGATCATTATTCCATAGTGTGTTCTATTAGTTCTTTGTATTACTTCATTGAGGCATGCTTACATTTGCATTGTTTCATTTTTTCAGGTCCAGAACTCACCTTAATGAGATCACCATTTGCCCATGAAGACTGATTGGTAATCTACTATGGACCAAGGTAAATGTCTTCTTTATTTTTTGATGCAGACGTGTTATTCATTTAGTCTTTACTAACTGAATCATTCCTCTTGTGTGTTCTTTATAAAGTTTCAATTGATGTCTGCTGGTCTGTTGGTTTACATCGATTGGAATGAGGGTCAGGGGTGGCCGGGTGGATGATTGCTCAATGATTCGATGTTGCTGGAACCTGGATGGAATGTTGTTGTGTTGCTGTTGCTTGCAGCTATTTCATTCTACTGTTTTTGGATAAGAAGTAGACATTTAGAATTTAAACTCGGCTGATACTTTTTGGTTGTTTGGTTCATTTGATCATTTCTATCACAAGCACGGAACAGATGTTTTTGGTTGTTGTTGCTGAGCTGCTGGTGTAGTGGCATAAATTGCAGCTTGGCAAGCTTTCGTTAGTTTATTTCAAGTCTTTTTGACAGATCAGTCAGTATGAATAAAGTTTCCGGTTTTCCATAATTTTTTTTGTCAGTTTCAATTTTTTCCATGTTTTCTTAGTGGGTATAACGGACCCGCGGGCACCCGATTACCCAATGCAGTCAAAATCGCGTTTTAAAACTTAAAAACTTACGATTTTATGCTTTTAGGTCACCAAAACGCTTTCGTTTCTATATAAAATCGTTAGTGCATAAAATCGGACAAAATTACGTCTTAAAGCTTAAAATCTTACGCCTTTTACGCTTCTAGTTCACCACAACGCTTTACGCTTTTACGCTTTTAGTTCACTAAATGGGTATTCTTTTCAAGAAATTAATTACAAAAAGTATATTTTAAAGGTAAGTCACCAACAATATGATACATTTGAGATTAAAAGATACATACCAGGTACTTGGATGCATTCTCATCTTCAATACAAAAATCTAATTCACCAGCTAGGCCATTCTCAAATTCTAGTATAAAGGGGAACGTGGATTATTATTAAGATTATTTATGTTTATGAACTTATTGTTAAGATGCTATAAGTTGGTCTACTTTAGACATAAATTGAAGGTATTTATTAACTTATCTAAATTCCTAGCACTCATATTTTTACATAGTCTATGTCATACTTAACAACTTTTTAGTTATTTTACAGCACGCGTAAAAAACTTACGCTTTTATGCTTTGATTCTACGCTATACGATTTTATCCCTTTTCCGCTTCTAGGTAGAATCGCACTTTTGACTGCATTGCGATTACCCATTGGGGACGGGGGTGGTTATCCAACAAGGCCCACATGTCCGTTTGGGCCGGGGACGGGGAAACCCGAGGCCCATGGTGGGTGGGCAACGGATCCAGGGTACCCGGCCCCGATCCGCCCCGTTGCCACCCCTAAGTAAAGGTATAGAGCTCACTTAGGAATGAGTCCCCATATCTCATCAATTAGTTCCAAGTTGTAATTTGTAACACCCCAACTTTTGGGTTTAGGTTCCACCATAATAAATAAACGGTTGTATTGACGGTTATGTACGAATGGTAGCAACCACAGATTAGGAATAATAATAAATATTATAGTAATAAGTATTATAATCATAAGTATTATTATTTTAAAGAAAACAGTAAACAAATCTACCAACCCGTCCCATTAAACCCCGCCCTAAACCTAATATATATACTTATACTTCTTTTTTTTTTTCCTTTTTCCTCTTTTTTGTGGGGTGCGCCAGGCCCAAGCAGTAGTGCAACGCTTGGACGACACGCGAGAAGGCCCCTGAAGCAAGCTCCTGTAGTGGGCTTTCTCCCCCTATAAAAATATATATGCTTATATACTTCTTCTAACCCACAGCAGAGCAAAATTTTCCCACCAACCCTAAGCTCTCTCTCGGCAGTTAGAGGAAAGAAGAGAAAAATACATACAAGGAGACAAGACCCAGTCGCAGTGGCCACTGACAAGTGACAATACAAATGGAATTATCTGGAGCCCCACCCTTCATCTGCCGTCATCGCCAGGAGACCTGAGACTCTCTCCCGTCAGGATCTCGAACTCGTTTCTAGATACGGAGAAGGCCGATATCTCAAGGTAGTTTCAATTTTTATAATTCCTTTTCAAATTTCAGTTCTGGAATTTGGAGGAATTCTCATCCCCCATTTTTTCCCCTGTTTCTGAGACTCTGTTTTTTTTTTTTTTGGCTTTTTTCAGGAGGTGGCGACCCAACAGGGAGCGTACGAGTCGCTGCACAGGGACATGAAGATTGGATTCGGCAAATGGGAATTCGACCCGATGGCGATGGACAATCCGTTGCCCAACGACGAAGGGAAAGTTCATCTGTGGCAAGGGGATGAGGACAAGAAAGTGCCGGTGGATTTGCAGCGTTTCATTGCTAAGAAGCTGCCATGGATTCAGTACCACGAGCTGCCAGGGGCCGGGCACGCCTTGCACTACGTTCCTGGAATGATCGAGGGAGTTCTCAGAGCTCTGTTGGTTGGGGAAGAAGGCAAGTAGGAAGAGACTAGATTTGTAAAGCATATATGTACAAATGGAGCCCCACTCTTGCTTATGCAAAGCTCATAAACATGGGTACGTGAGCAACGGAACTGATCCGAAGCATGCTGCTTCTCATGGTGGCGATGGTCTTTATTCTTTGTCGATTAGAGGAAGGAATTGGATTGGATACGCGTAAGGGATGTGGGACAGATTGTTGATGGAAGACAACATCCGGGGTAAGGATTCTCCCAGCTGTTTAATAATAAAATGGCGATGATGATTGATGCGTTAAAGTGGGATCAGTTGTGAAAAAAGGAATACAAAAAAGGAGTGAGTTATATCAATGGTGAAGGTTTAATCAACACTTCCATTTCAAATTTCGTTGGACTGAGAGTGATTCTAGGAATGTCATTTTTTGTCATTGCACTCACTTCATTTTTATATATTAAAAATGTTATCATTGGGGTTTGAACCCTGGTCACTTGAACCCTAGTAATTCTAGGAATATCATTTTTGTCATTGCACTCACTTCATCTTTTATATGTTAAAAATGTCATCATTGGGGGTTTAATCAACACTTCCATTTCAAATTTCGTTGGACTGAGAGTGATTCTAGGAATGTCATTTTTTGTCATTGCACTCACTTCATTTTTATATATTAAAAATGTTATCATTGGGGTTTGAACCCTGGTCACTTGAACCCTAGTAATTCTAGGAATATCATTTTTGTCATTGCACTCACTTCATCTTTTATATATTAAAAATGTTATCATTGGGGTTTGAACCCTAGTCACTTGAACCCTAGTCACTTAAATGAAGAAAGAGCATTATAACCAACAAGACTACATTGTGTTTATTGTTATTTTTTTATTAAACTCTGAGAATATGTTTGATGATGATGCTTCTATATTTATAGTTTATCTTAAGTTATTTATATTTTATAGAAAGACATTAGTTCTGAAATCGAAACTCAAGTAACATTGATTCAAACATTAATATTAAATTGTGTGTATAGTTCAGTTTAGACAAAATATAGGAGTGTAACCAAAATATGGACCTTTTTAACGAGTATAGTCATTTTTTTTTACCAAATATACACATAATATAATGATAAAATTGGAAAATGAGAGTCTACTTTCAAATTTCGTGGCCTAAGAGTGATTCTACGAACCTCTTTTTCGCCATAACGCCAAATTTATCTTTATATTATGTGTAGATTTGTACAAAAAATTACTATATATGTCACGAAGACCCATATTTTGACTACACACATGTATTTTATCTAAACTGTACCACACATATAATTTAATATTTAATTTTTGAATCAATGTTACTTGAGTTCCGATTTCACAATTCATTACTTTCTAATACGTGATTTATAATTTTTTTATAACCTATAAAATGACTGGTAATCTTAAAATTTCAACACAAATTTCAATGCTTGAAATATTTCATATTGAATTGCAGTATTGAATATGCAAGAGATGTAGAATTCTTTAAATTAATATAAATTTTCATGGCTACTACGAAACAATAATATTTTATACAAACTATAGGTGACTGGTTCTATAAAATGTTAGTTTGGTTAATTGCTAAACATTAAACCTCTTGCTAATCTGGTATGAATGGACTCAACAATAATGAGATGATATTAGGTTTAATGTGATGTTCATTTAGCTAGTTTTGGATGTGTTGACCAATTTAAGGGCATCAACATATAAATGAGTTATAATTAACCTCATTATATAATTTTTACTCGTTATAATAATTAATTTAATCTTAATATTTGTGATGTTTGAAATATTTTATGTATGATTTAGAGATATACTTATTATTTGTGGCATCAGTGGTAGTTGGTTCAAATGTAGTATTTTATCAGGTAGTTAAAATCAAATACTGGGTGCATTTATGACTGTTTTTTATCTTGGTGTTGCGAATAGGTAAAAACTTAATTATTATAATGCATAGAACTATACCCAGGCACATGGTCGAGTTAGCATGACACAATTAGAGCGTACCATGAAGACAATGCATATGGGTCAGCCTATACAAGCATGAATGCTTCATGGGTCGTACCAGACTTAAACTTCAAGTGCTCACGCACAATTTCGAACACCACACAGTCTATTTTGGTGAACTCATATTTTATGGAGAAATGTGCAATTTGAGAGGAATAATCAATCATCGGTTTGCCAGGTTTTAGGACCTTTGATTCACACTATCGACTATGAATGGAGAAGAAGCATTTCGAACGCAAAATTGGAGAAATAATTGGGATATTTCTAGGTTTCTCTCGATTCCAGGCAGTGGGAAAAAAGAGGAAGGGAAATGGGGAGAGGGGTAAGATACAAAGCTCAGAGAGAGATAGAGATATGGAAGAACAAACGGAAAAACAAAGAGGATTATCGAGGACCTGCTGGGCAAGTGTAGCCATCAACATCTCATCCAGCCTAATCCACACCTCTATTGATATGACCTCGAGGATCTAAACCCTTGAGAATGCCTAACTTAGTGGTGGAAGGGTAATACCTGCTGGCATCTCAAAGCAAACCCATCATTCGCCGACTGGAGAAGGAGTTCGCCGACTGAGCTTTGCCGATTGGAGAATGAGCTCACTAGATCGATCTTATCTCCCTCCGCTAGAGGAAGGAGAGGCGGATTCTCGCAGCTTCGTTCGATGGGGAGGTCGAGTTTGAGGGAGGCTGGGAGAAGAACGATGGGAGCTGGGGTTAGCAAAACGACACCGTTGGTCTAAGTGAACAAAAGGGGAAAAAAGTGGCAGATGGATTCGAACGTTGGGCTCATTAAAAGGAATGGGGGCGTAACCCGTTGGGCAGCTGGGAAAATCCATCCCTTATTTTCCAGCAGGCGATCTTTTATTGTTTTCGCCCAGCTGCCTCTTTTATTCCCCATGGGTTTTCCAACGATAATGAAATTGCAAGTGAACCCGTTTCTTACCATTTGTTCTTTGATTTTTGTTGTCGCACCAGAAAACAGAAAACAAAATGGCAATTGAACGGGACATAAGAGAGAGTGAAAGGACACATTTAAAAGAGGGGGGAAATGAGGTAGTGTGAAATAATTGTCCTTCTTCTTTGCTTAGTGGGTATTTTTGGCCCTGTTGAGTTTTGATTTATTTTAGAATATGACATTATATTTGATAGATTTTTTTCCATTTCAATTCAGGGATCGTTTGAAAGTAGCGATTGTTTTGTTGATATTGTTACTATAATATTGTTTAGAATGCATCATTTTTTTTTTTAGTAGAAACAATATATGGATTACATTTGTGATGTGACAGAAACTATCACTCAAAATGAGTGATTGTTATTGTAACACCCCTGTATTTTAGTTTTAGGTTCGACCTTAATTTGGAATCGGTTGGATTGACGATTACGTACTAAGAGTTGCAACCGCGGTTTAAGAATAATAATAATAACCGTTATTATTATTATTTTATTATTACATTATAAAAAAAAACAAAGTGGGGTGGCCCAAGGAGGTCGGCGCCTCCACTCCCCCTCCCACAAAAAAAAAAACCCTCGTCATTCACCCCAGGCCCCAGAAACAATAATTCTCCATCCTAAATAAACCCCCTTGCCAAATAATCTCCCCAGCAACTCCCCGCCGCGCCGCCCCATCCTCTGCTTCCCCAGGTGAAGCGAAAGGAAGAAGAAGCCCACCGCCGCCTCTGTTTCCGGACCCCGATCTCACCCATTTCGTGTCCCTAGGTAAGGATCGCAAACCCTTTCATGATTCCAAACTCAATTCATCGATAGTCCAATCCGAAGCTCGTATTTTATTAACAGTGATGTTTGAGGGTTCGATCAACGAGGACATCAACGTCCCAGGTCATCCAACCTAGGCCTAGGCACGTTCTAGAGGTAAGTGAACTCGATCCCTTTGAGTTAGATCGATCGATTTGGTGATTTTTCGTGAGGGTGCAATTCTGAGGTTTTAGCAACAATCGTTCAGACTTTTAGTGACAGAATTTGGGTGGTCACTAAAGCTGCTGGGAATTTTCAGAAACTCATTTTAGATGTTTTAAATTGTGTCGAGTCTCTGTGGATGTTTGTTCCTGGGTTTAATAATTTTATAGATTGAGGGAGGTCTAGGAGATGACTGTAATTTAATTTGGGGATTTTTAAAGATGTATTTTAATTTTAGAAATTGTTCGAACATTCGTTTTAATTAAATAATAATATTTCCGAAGAGTTTATAAGGGTTGAAAATTTTCCAGGGTATAGGTACTCATGAATGACATGGGAAAATTATTGTCCAAAATTTTAAGAAGGTTCAAGTTAGGTGAAAAATTCGTCCAAGATAAAAATAATTAAGAAATATGGTCGTTTTTGAAGGGTTTAATTCTAGAAATTTTTAATGGGGGCTAAAGGACCCTTGGAATGAGGTTCAAGGACTGGAGTTTGAGGAGAGGAAGTTCTAGTGATTCAAAGGGGTTTTAAATCAAGAAAGGTTGTCTAAGAAAATGGATTCTTATTAATAGGTTTTCCCAAGAAAATCCGGCTAAGGAGGGGTTTCTTCGAGGAAGGAGTTGAGGAGTCTTCTTTTCGAGGTGAGTGTAATGGGGGTAAAATCTCTATTGTTGGTCTTTTAGTTTCCGCTTTTCGTTCAAGTTATTAGTTAGTTAATTTTTCTAGTATGCGCGATATGTGTGTGAGACATCCCACCGCCTGTAAGGGTGGAGGCACGCGTTGTGCTATGTATGAATGTATGTGATTGTAATAGTTGGTTAATGGTAAGAGGAACCCCCGGGCGGTTGGGTCACTACTGGACGGCGAGACGTAACGCAGTAGTTGACGGGCACGGACTTGACGGCGAGACGTAACGCAGTGCCATTGCCGAGTTTGGGTATGCAACCAGACGACAAGATGTAACGCGGTTGGCATACTAGGGTAGGGACACCAGACGGCGAGACGTAACGCGGTGGTCCCTTGTGTTGATGTCTTTGGATTATGAATATAAGTAAGAAGAATTATAAAGATAAGATAGGAGTAGAGATCTCTTA